AGAGGCAGCTGACTTTTTCTTACGTGTGCCAGAGCATGCTTTTGGCTTTCAGGCATCAGACTTTTTTCCTTTTTCTTTTTTTTTTTACCACCTCAAATGTGTGCAGAGGGCAGTTTTTGTGGTTTTACAGTGCAACTAATATTGTAAATACAGAGAGACAGACTGAACATCTTACATGGTAATGCAGCTACTGTGACCTAGTGCACTTTCTTCTAAGGGATATTCTGTCCTCCTGCCCATGGTTTCACCAAGACTTTCGTCTGACCTGGGGTGTCTGCTGGTTGATCACATTCTGAGTTTACCTGACGTGGAGGTTGTGCAGGCATCTAAGTGGCCCTTTTGTGCAGCCTCAGTTCAAGAGCGGATTGGAAATATTGATGCTTCTGGGTCAGTCTCAGTGCTGTATCCAGCTGTAACGGTGGCCAACAGAAATGGGACAGATGGCAGAAATTAAGTAGAGCTCTCTAATGCTCGACCTAGTCTGCTGTGCGTAGTAGGACACTACTGCCTCTTAGCAAAGTATCCATGGAGGCCTTCAAAAACACGTGTGCTAGGGTCTCATGTACTGCTGAATGGTGAGCAGTAGGGACTTTTGAATGGTATTGGGGAGCCAAGGTCTCTTGGCTCTGCCTGCACCTGTTTTACTGCCTGCAGGGTGTGCATGGACCAGAGTAGGTTCTTCGATCTGAACCTCCTCGCAGCTTTACTTGGGGCAGGGTGGGGCAGGGGAATGAAAACTGGGGGAAGGACTGCTGCTTGAGCTGCAGCTACCCAGGACTGAGGAGGAGTTGTTTCAGTCTTTAGCAGATAGACAGACGGTGTTTCCAGCCTGCTGTCCTGCTAGTGTGTCAGGAGGTTACATCCAGTTAATCTGGAAACTGAAATCCTTTTGTATTTAACCTGCCATTAGTAATCACATGTCCAAGTTTATCTTACAGCTGTGGCGCTCTAAGAAGGACTGATTTTAGTAATGACAGAAGCCCAGGGCTATCAGCACGGAAGGAACCCAGAAGCAGCTGCCAGCCTGCAGTGATTTTTGCCCATCTGCTGTGCAGATAGTACAGGGAGCTGTATGGTGCTTAGACAAGTGAGGTACACACTGCCTCCCTGGCAATGCAGGGTCCTGATTGTGCATCCCTATAGAGCCTTGGGACCTGGACATGGCCCTGGACCATTATATGCATTGAGAGCAATCTCTTGTCTTTACACATGGGTTTGTGACCCCATTATCCTTTTAATAAACAATGGAGAAGCAACTTCAAAAGCCATTGCAAGTCCCTGGTAAACCTCTCTCTGTATGAACTTCAAAAGCAGAGAGCTGTCATTTGAGAAAACGATGGACAAAAGTACCAGCATCCTGGGAGTGCAGCCTGATGGCATGCCTATTATCAGCTGCTAAGCAAAGTGTGTTTATTTTAGCACAAAGGCCCTAGTGACTAAGCTTGAAATGTTCTGAAACTGGTGCTGAAATGACCGCAAGGTTGTTCTGAAGGTCCCGCAGCTAAACAGATTAGACAGACATGTTAGGGATGAGCAATACAAAAAAGCTCGGTGCTCAAACCACCTGTCAGGGAGAGGAACAAGAAATCTTGTAACAATGAGTGAAGACAGTGGGGTTGAAATGCCAAAGAATTTTAATTGTCTGAATTTTTTCAGGTGAGAGAGTAGCTAAATTCGGAGTAAAGTGAAATAGGGTCAGGAGCTAGCAGCTTAAGCAAAAGTAGAGCAATTGATCCTGAAAGCAGCAAGCCACGCACTAATATTCCCAGGTTTATCAAAGGATATTGTCTCTGGAGTCATCATGATGTGTATTTAAAGTGATGCATATTTAAAGTAGGCAGTGAACAATATGTGATTCCTTATATGCCATTTAAGTTTTCAGTCCTTCATTTCCGTGAAATTAGGACAGCATCTCTGTGCTGAAGTGAAACTTCTGCCAGCCTCTGCAGGCACACAGTCAGAAGTATTGCTTTTGAGCGGGACTTGTTTAATTTAAGGCACCATCCCATGGCAGAGACCGCAGTGCAGGGATAGAAGCCGCTGCCACCCTGCTCTGCGCTGTGGGGCAGTCCCAGCGCTCTTTGTTTTACAGGTGTGGCCACAGCCAGGACGTGCATTTCCCAGCTCCACCGGGACAGTCCCCAGCGCAGCCTGGGGAAGTGAGCTTTTCCTGCATCTTGCTATCCCATGTGCGTGATGAGAAGATGCTTCCTTACCTCAGAGGGACATTAGAAGAAGTCCATCCTGATGTGGACAGGGAAAGGCTGAGAGCAGGAGAGGAAGAAATCAGCTCTGTTTGGATGCGCCACTCCTGTGGTGGCTGCAGGGGCACCTGATTGCTCATGGTTTTGGCAAATTCCCTTTTACGCTTCTGCCAGGGGCTTAAAGTGTCGTGGAAAAATAGTCAAAATGACCACATCTTCTTTAAAGAAAGTAATTAAATCATGCTCTCTTCCCTCAAAGTGCTCTTGGTGTCAGCACCTCTTCTTAGTGGGCCCATGTAATGCCAACAGTCAAATTATAAATCCTTTATAAAGGGGTTTATCCCTCTGCTGAATGAGCTTGCATCAGAAGGCCAGACACAGCATGCCAACTGTGGCACCTTCTCTGAAGGTCTGTTGCCATCAATCTTGACCTGCTAATGTCATGGGGTTAAAAATACACTGGGTGCAGAATGGATGGTAAATGCTTTTTTTGTCATCGTGGAAGAATGACGTGGTGGCAGTGATCCAGGCTTCATCCCTTCTGCTGGAATGGCTGCTGCTCATGCACCGGCCAGGGCCTTCGTCCAAAGAAGTGTCTCCTCATTGCATGGCTCCACGTGTATGTTTTTCCTTGCCACTGCCAGCTTGTCTTTAAGGAGAGACATTGCATACAGGTTGAAAGTCGCTTGGGCACCTGCCCATTGCACTAAACTGGAGCCTGCACTACCACATCATTTAAAATCAAAGTTAAATGGTTTTTGGGGTTTTTTTTCATTTTTAGGAGTGCCATTTAGGAGTCCCCACCTCTCCGTCCCCTCCTCAGAAAGTGGGACTCTGTAACTGCCAGCGAGTGTGCTGGGCTTACCTGTGGACGGGCAGACACACAGGGGTTATCGTACAAATATGCATCGTGGATTACGTGCCACAAAACTAATGCATCCAAGATTAGATTCTTTTTGTTTTGGGATCTGGGTCCTGTTTTGGTGTCGGCAACCTTTGCAAAGCATCAGGGTGGGTGAGAGATATCAGAGTGGGATGCTTTTGGGTTTGTTGGGGTTTTTCAGTGTCCTGTCCGACATCTGCATTGGTACAAGGGTGGGCTGGCACCCTGGGTCGTCTCTGACCTCCAAGTAACGCAGTTGTCCCCAGTGGGGATTAGAGGAGAATGGGGGACAACGAGCATGTCAGGGCGGCGTGCTTCTGGCTCCTACGCCACCAGGTAAACGCACGGCTGAGCAAGGCCTGCAGCTTACCCACAGGGCTGCTGCACATGCAAACCTGGGCTCATTCCTCGAGAACCATGCTGCCTTGTCCTCTGCCTGCCTTGCTGGCTGAAACCTGGGCAGGACATTAAGGGCTACTGGAGAAATGTTGGTCTGGCTGAATTCACTGGCAAAACTTTAGAGCTTCACTGGAACATCTCCATTTCCCGAGGAGCAGTGTGAGTGGTTTCCCAGCCTGAGGGTGCCCTCTGGTGTACGCAGGAGACAGATTGTAGTTTATTGGAGTGGTTTTACATGGCTTCCTTCTTTTCTTAAAGCTTTGCAGCCAACATTGTTGTTTGTCGAAGGCTGCCAGGTAGGTGCATGCCATAAAGCACCAAGATGTGACCTCCAGACCAGTCCCGTGTGTCATCTGCATTTATACACCCAACAGCAGATGATCACTTTTTTAACGATACTTGCCACATGCAGCATAACAGCCAGGAGGCTTCTGGGCCCCAGTGTCTCAGTTTGGATTTCCTTCCAGCGTGCCTGGCAGATCCCCAAAACCAGCCTGCAGCAGGTCCTGTTCCAGCTGTGCCCAGGCAGTGCTGCTCCCCCTGCCCCGGGCGCTGCCTCCGGGCATGTGCTTGGGGCTCCTTGACCAAGCAGCACAAGCAGAGATGCTCCAGTGCTAGGCTGCATTTCAAACCCCTGGCTGAATAGGGAAACAGGCTGCAAAGAGGTAGAAGCAGCATTTTATAAACAAACAAAACCTAGCCCTTTTCTCCAAGGGAAAGGCAGAAGAAGTGGTGGCAGCATGAGCATGCATTGCCATAGTTACGTGGAACTGAAAACAGATGGCAAATGTGAGGCATAAACACAAAATCTGCAGTAAATATAAATCTTCCCCATATGTAGAATCCTTTCTTGGGAAAACTTTTGTCATCTTGTCTCTGTTACAGCATTCTGCTCTTAAAAAAATACACTTTTTTAAATGGTTTCAAACTTTTGTTGGCAGCTGCAGTAATGAACGTGCTGGTAGGGAGCAGAGAAGCGTGTTGAGCGCTCCGGAGTTGCACTGTGCTGGGGGCAGACCGGGTGGTCAGGTATTGCAGTGGCTTATCTGGCAGCTGCTGGTTGAAGGCACCTTCTAGCAGAACAGCATGGGTGTGACATTTTGAGGAATGATGTCAAGTATGAATCACTCTCTCCATGGCCTTTCTTCTTTTCTACTTCCTCCTTTCCTGGGGTGGTTTCCAGCGTGAGTCAGAGTACCTTCACTTGCTCTTGCCAGGTTATTTTGTGTTGTAATCTGCCAGGAGGTGGTCCAGACTTGCAAAGCTACCTCCTCCGCCCAGAGATGGGACTGTTGTCCAGATCCAGCAACTGGCATCCATCAGTGACTGCTGGTGGAAGAGGAGATGCGGTTAGTTGGGCTGCAGGGTGGGAAGGCCCATGCCAGGGTTGGGTGATTGTCTCCAGCTGCGCAGCAGCCGTGCTTGGATGTCCTCGTTCACTTCTCAGCAGCCAGTTTTTGCTCACATTTTCTCCCTGTTCTCTGCTGACCTTTCTTTTCATTTTTTTTCCTCAGGTCGAAAGCTGAGAGGAAAAGCCTTTTATTTTGTCAATGGCAAGGTGTTCTGTGAAGAAGATTTCCTGGTAAGCACGCAGCTGACCCTTGTGTTGGCACATCTTAGCCTCCCCAGCAGACACGCAGCCTTTCTGCCTGTCGGCTTTGCCTGCATTTCACACGGCTCTAGTCCAACATCCTGCCTGGCCCTTCTGCTCCACCATTTACCCAGGGCCAGGGCCAGCCATCGTGGCTGCCCACATGTGGTGCTGGAAGTAGCCAAGTGAGAGGCTGTGGTTTTGCGGTGCAGAGCCCTGGTTGAAGCCATAATCTCTTGTGATGGCTCCTTCAAAGCGTGTCTCTGTAGCCGTGCTGTGGAAGCAGGAGCCAGATGAATGGCTACGGAAGAATGAATGAGGGACTTTCCCTTTCCAATGAACTGCATTTGCTTGGGGCATCTTAATGGCTGTCTTTCTGTTGCCCTCAAAGCATTTTGTGTGAATGTACCTGAACCTGAAGCAACCCCACAGTCCTGTCCTTGTCTGGTAGAGATAAAAAGCTGTGTACCCTTCTGTCCCTGAGTCCTGATAGATATGAAAAAGTTGTATTTGCCTACTTATTGGGGAAGTCTAGTGATTTCTGTCAGAGAGAAGCGAGTTAATCTTCTTTGCTCTCATCAGTATATTCTACAGAGGCTGAAAATGGTAAGATTGTTTAAATGCATCTAAAATTTTTCATTTTTCCAGTTTGCATTTCCACCATTCAGACAGGACTGAAACCTCAGACAGGTGACGTGTTGTGCCTGAGGTGCATGTCATGGGTGTGACAGGCAGTTCCTTACCGTTAGATTTCAGCAATAACAGCAAAAAAGTTGCTGTGGGCCAGACTTGATTGTTATACTAACAGGGAGCTGGGACAATACTATTTACTGACCTTGCAGAAGCTTCAGTAGACCTGTAACAGTGTAACTGAAGGAAGAATTTGGTTTTCCAAGCCTATATATACAGATATTGTGATATGAATGTATGATAAACACGAGTAAGTTCCTGGCTTGTAGATTCACATGGTCAAATAAGTATGTAAGTATGCCTTATTTGCATATGACTTTATGGTATTTACTTATATACTTACTTAGAGTTACTTAGAATTAGGACTTGGAAGTTGCCAGAACTTGTACTCCTTCTGAACACTGGAAGTCTGGTGTCATTATAGATTATCCTCTGGGGACCCACCGACATCTTCATATACTGAAAAAAGGCACTGGAAAGTTTAGTTTGTGTAAGGAGTACAGAAAAAGGCCACGCAAATAACACCCCACAATACACAATACACTGTTGTGTATGCTCGACTAGCCTTGTGAAATTTTAAGCCAATTCTTTTTTGTCCTTGCAGTATTCTGGTTTCCAGCAGTCAGCTGACAGATGTTTCATTTGTGGTCATTTGATAATGGACATGGTAAGTGATAATCGTTTTAGGAGAAAAAAAATCCCACAGCTTTTTAGAAGAATGCATCAAAAGCAAAATATATTCATATTCAGTACTGTCTGTTATCATCTAGTAGTCTGCTTAGTGTGAGACTGGTAGCAGAAAGAAAATCCACTAAGCTTTTTGTTGATTTTTGCAAGGAGGTGAAGCTGGCACCATGCTGTGTGTGGTGCAGAGACTTTGCTCTGCCTGTTTTCAGTGCATGTTGAAAGGCAGAGCCTTCAGATCTTTCATCACCTTTCGGGCTTCCCTGGGCAGTGCATTTGAAATCCTGTCAATGATTCCTACTCAGAAGTGCCATGGCTCTGCAGAGCAGCTCTGCTGAGCCTATCATTCCTGTAATCAAGCTGTGGCTTTCCATGTACCTTCAGGATGAAGCTACTGTCATGTTGCTGCTTTTTGTGGGTGCTGAAACTCTGGGCAACAGGTTTGATCCAGAGTATGTGGTCCAGACCTCAGTTCAGATCTGCCCAAGTCCTTGCAAACTCTTTGGTAGATATGTTCTGCTGAAGCAGGCAGTTCTCAGAAGCCTAGAACAGGTACCATTCATTCGAGATGTGCACAGAGTGGGTTACAGCTCAGAGGGTCAGCTGGCCTTTAGCCAGCACTGGGCAGCATTCAGTTGTGGATAATTTAGAGGGAGAAAATTGATGATTGTGTAACTGGTGGTGTAAAACTACAGCTGAGGCAAAGAAATTAGGAATTTCTGGGTGGTCAGTTCCCAGCACACCTCCCAGGATTTTCTAATGTTTATTGTTAATTGTCTTCGCTTGCCTGCTTGCACTGAAAAGCATTAAAATTGGAAAAGCTATGTTATACTCAGAAGTCTGATCACTCAGCTGATGGACCATGGTATTCCAGGTGGTGATTGCTGCCCCAAAGCTGGCAGATGAATTGCAGCTGTTGAGTTCAACAGTTTCCATAATCTGTGTCAAGTAGAAAGCCAGGCTAACAAGTATAAAGCTCTTCAATATCTAGGAATTATGAAAACCTAGCAATAGTTCTTTGTTTCAGCCTCTCATGGAGAATATAAAGTTATATTTCCTTTTGTTGACCTGGTATGTCTTGCCTTGTGATCCTGCTAAGTATTCTCTACCTGTTGGCTTCAGAAATTATTTTCTTTGCTTTAAATTCTGTCAGTTCTATCCTTTGTAATGCTAACTACCTTAACTGAGACTCTAAATTGCTTTCTAACCCATGCTAATAATTCATTTCTCTGGAACCAGGTGATATATATTGATTCCAGCTGCACTTTCCATCCCAGTTAACTCATTTTTCAGATGGGGTGCCTGAAAAGAAACACAGCCCCACCGAAGAATATGCAGCATTGTCTGGTGTAAAGCTCTGTGTTTATTATTTTCACCTTTATTGGCTGCTGACATGCATTTTTTCCCTGTCTCTTGGTTTGTTGCAGATCCTGCAGGCTCTAGGGAAATCATATCATCCAGGCTGCTTCCGATGCGTGGTCTGCAACGAGTGTCTGGATGGTGTGCCATTCACTGTAGACTCTGAAAACAAAATCTACTGTGTCAGAGATTACCACAAGTAAGGACAAAATAAACAGCAGAGATGCTCCATTCAACAAGCCTCCAATTTAGCTTTTCAGCTAGTTAGGAAATGCAGATTAGTCAAATAGGGACAGGGTTAGAAGCCAGAAGTTTGGGGATGGGGCTAGACCCTAGAAATTCCCAATGTCTCGCCTCTTGTCCTGCCATTGACTCCTGTGTAGCTCTGAGGAAGTCACTTAACCCCTGGGCTTCAGCTGCCTGTTCTGCAAAGCAGAGGTAGTGAGAAATAGTGCTTGTGAAGTGTTCAGTGACGTAAGGAATTAGTCTGCTGTAAAGTAAGACTGTGAATGCCTGTGGAAATCAATGTGAGTTACTTTTTGAGTAGCTGAAGGACTGAGTTTGACTTATAAAGAATCACCACTAAAGATTCACACCTGCAAAGCAAAACTTTTATCCAGCTCTAAATTAAACAACTGATAAATCCACTGTAAAAATCGGTTGTTATTTAGACAGTCAAATAAATTATCTGTCCTCTTAACTGATAGTTATGATATTAGAGCGGCACACATTTTGAGTGTCCTTCTGGCTTGCTTTGCTGCTTGCCCTGTTTTCTGAGCAGCCAGAGTATTAAGTGTTGCTCAGGCAGCCCCTGAAATTGGTCTGTGTTGTGCCAAGGTTAGAGTTGCCTCCACATGCCACCGTTGTTCTGAAACAATGCATATTTCCTTGCAATTTAGTTTAATATTTATTTATTGTGTTACGTTGTGTTGTAAGGCCTTAAGGAACTGTACAGTCCCGCCATATTTTCTCTGAAGTTTCCTGCCCCAAGGCTGCCACTTGTTTTGATGTGTTTTTCTGGGAACAGTCCTGCTCAGTTTCTCCTCACTCTGTCTTCCAAATTGCTCAGTAGCAGCCAAGAATTCTGGAGTGAGTTTGGGGTTTTTTCTGGCAATAAGCGTAAAATGTAAGGTCTCTTTTTGCCTGATTGAGCAACGTGTGCCAAGTATTACTTACAATCAATGTTAAAATGAATTTATGATCTCAGGATGCAAAGGTTTCCTATGGATAAGTTATTTACAGCTGTAGCTTTTCATCTTATAGCTGAGAGCATACACGCATCTCTTTTTATGTTGATCTGTAACTTGCCTTCAATTTCTCATTGCTTTTCCAGAGTTTTAGCTCCAAAGTGTGCAGCTTGTGGACTTCCCATTCTGCCTTCTGAGGTGAGAGCCTTTTATTCTGTATCCCCTTGGGAAAAGGAGCATCGTGTCTCAGGTCGTGCTGTCTTTCTCACTTGACCCTCCGTCAAGACAAATATCCTTGCACATGAGGAGAGATGATCACTTCCTCTGGAGTGCAAGCTTTTTGACCTCAGCCTATAGGCTGTTCTTGAGACGTGACCCTTCTTTTGCTCTGTAATGAAGCTTATTCTTGCTAGGCCAGGCTGCTTTTTTCATGTCCTGCAAGATTAGACTGCTGCTAGTTTCATGTTTGGGATGATACCTTTCCTTCATGTCAGTAGGTGCTGGTGGTACTCATGAATAACCTCTGTGTGACCCCTCTGGGACTAACTCGTTTTAGTATTTGGAGGAGATAAATCTTGGCCAAAACCAATTTAAAATGCTGAGAAAAGTGATATATTGAAATTACCAAATCATTGATGCATGATTTGAGATAGATGTAACTGTTAAACAGACAGAATTTTCCATTTCTGGTGTTACATTTTAGAGGCTGTCTGCAGTCAGTTGATGATGAAGCTTTACTGTTAAAATAACTGCAGGTGGCAGGATTTATTTGTGGTGTCCAACCAGCAGCCCAAATGCATTTCCTCAACATTCACGTCGTTGTGGGGAGCAGTCTACAGAGTGCCTGTGTCTGATTCTGCTGCAGTCATTTGTAATTTCTCTTTTGCTTGCATGCTTACAGGGGTCTGATGAGACCATTCGGGTTGTGTCCATGGACAAGGATTATCACGTGGAATGCTATCACTGTGAGGTAGGGCAGCAGCTTTCTCAGGGTGTGGGCACTTAACACTGATAACTACTATTTTTAAGATGGTGTCCTCTCCCACTGGCTGGGACAAGGGGAGGTTGCTTTGGATTTCTGTGCGACAACAAGGAGTAATGACAATTACTCAAAGTTACTCAGTAACTTTGTTTAACATTGGCAACAACCAATAATCAAAACAAGAATGATAACTGAGTGGAGAGTTGGCAAAGGGAAGTGCAATCCAAACACTTATTAAAGACAAATGCGATTTCAATGCCCCTTAAAGGCAAACATGGCCACAACGCTTGGCCCTGGTAATAGTTGAGAACGAGAGGAAGGAGGAAAGAGAAAGGAAAAAGGTAGAATGTAAGGTACCACCAACCGTTGGATCACACGTTGGTAAGATGTGGCTGGGAGGTCGATCCTCAGGCAGTGGGTGCACACGGTTTCCTCGCCTTGTGGCCTTTTTAAAGTCTCTATCCCTGCCCCTTAGAGGCAGATTGAAATGCCACTGCAAGCATGCGCACTCTGAGATGAGAATCTTCTAGAAATGAGTCGGGGGCTACCCTGGGGCGTGCACGCTTTGCGCCAAGAACCCTCTAGAAATGGGTTGGGGGGCTGGTGGCATCGGGCCATGCGCACTCTGTGGCAAGGGCCCTCACTGCAGTGACTGATGACTGACCTGGCCCGGCACGCAGGTGCAGAAACAGAACATCGCCGAAAGGGGACGATGGCTCAGGGGAACCCCCACCCCACCTCCCCAGGACGTGGCCCTGCTCTCCCCTCCCCTCTCCTCTTGTTCAGACAAGATGAGTGTTTAAGACATCTCACAATGGCTCTGCAGTCAGATGCCACAGATGGAAATAAATCTCCTCCCTTACAGTGGCAGTAGATTAGCAATTCAAACCTTGCATTGTTTGACGGAGAAATTTCCAGTTTGAGGACAAAAGTTTTTGCAGCAATGTGTCTTGGCTGCAATTTCATTTGCTATCTATAAAGTAATGGGCAAAGAGTTAATTATCACTTTTAAACTCGGCACTTTATTTGTTAATGAAGGAAACATGGTGGCTTAGTAAGATTCTATTGCTGCCTTTCAGAAGCCTTGAGCTCCAGATCGCATTAGTGTACCTGATTTCCAAGTCAGATTTTTCAAAAATGCTAAGGTGGTGACCGATCCTCTGCGGTGTAAGTTATCTTCACTGTCAGGCAAAATGAATGTGTCATTGGGGCTGGAGAAAGCATATGGCTGCACAAAAAAAATCCTGAGAGATGCCAGCTCTTAAACACCGTCTGGTCTCTGTGCAGGGCTTCCCAGAAAGCCCTTATACTTCTGCACTGTCAAGTAAAATAAATAGATGTCTTCTCTCACTGTGCTCCTGGTGCAATGGAAAGAGGCCCTGACTCAGTTGGCTGGTTTCACATCAGTACAGCTGCAATTAATGTAATGAGAACAGGTGAATCCAACCTGAGAGTGTAAGGAGACACGAGCACATTTAAAATACATGGGATTGCACCTCTCCACAAGATAAAGTTTATTCAATTAAACTGCTTAAGACGAACTTGTGCAAGGCTGCCCCTCAAAATGCCTGTGTCAGATGCTTTCCTTCTTGTGACACACGTTTGACTTACTAGCTGTTGGCTGGGTGTCTTCTGTCTGTGTCACAAAATCACCTTCCTGGAAGCCAGGCCCCAGTTTACACCGGCAGATGAATAGAAGCTCTAATAATTTTCATGGCCTCTTTTTGCAGGACTGTGGGATGGAACTGAATGACGAAGATGGGCATCGCTGTTACCCACTAGATGAACATTTGCTTTGTCACTCCTGTCATCTGAAACACATAGAGAACGGCACAACTCCAGCATACCAGCACCACTACTAGCCAGCGTGGCCGACATTGGAAAGCCAGGACAGAAGACTTGTTACATGATCTCCCTCTCCCCACCCTCAGCTGGTTTCCTGTGCATGTTTTTCGCCAGTCGGCAATGTTCCTGTAAGAGGATATGAGAGATTTTTGCTGGATTCCCAGAGTTTGTGTGCTTGTGAGTTCCAGCTGTATCAATCCATGTCTACTTGAGCAAGAATGTGGCATGTTATCTAAACTGATTGGTTTACTTTTATGTGCCTTTTTCTGCTGTCTGGAGATTCCTCTTGGCTCATTTTGGAAGATTCTTCAGTGAAAGCACAATTTGCTGTCGTGCCTATGAACTCAGATCGTGCCACGCACAATTAAAAAGCCAGAGGCTGGCTTGCCTGCCTGCCTGCCTGCCAGGGACGTCCCGTTGGCCTACTAAGTGTTTCCTGACAAGCACATTACATCAGATTCCCTGAAGGACATCAACCTGTTAATAGCCGTTTTTAGACACTCTCTCTTTTTATTAGTTCTTTAGGAAAAGAAAAGCAAGGATGCATGCAGACCTTCCAGTTAATTCCCTCAACTCCAGAATCAAGTCTGGCTGTAAAAGCACCAGCTCTCCAGGCTTGCTGGCTGGCAGCTGGAGGCTGACATCCCGTTTCAAACAGAACAAAAAACTGGAACAAGCTAGGCTGAGCTACCATGATGACTTGGGGCCCAGGCTTTCGTGTCAGCGTGATGCACAGGGGCCAGTCTGCTGTGTCAGAGTCCAAACAGTGGATCGTATTTGGAAAGGAAAGGTCGGGATGCTGAAAGTGTGGACACGAGGGAAATCCATCCTCATTCTTGCTTGCAGAGCTTGCTTTGGAAAAAAGCTCTCTGTATGCAGACACTTGCCTGAGTTTTCCAGTTTGTCCCCACAGCTCAACCCCCAGCCTGGCCACTCCTTTCTGTGGTGTTTACCCAGCACAAAGCCATTTCATAATGGTGCTTATTTAGAGCTCTGGGAACAAACTCAAGGTCGTTATGAAGGCTTTGTTACACAGGGATTTAGAGCCCAGCTCCACAACCTGTACTCAGATGTGTATGTTGGTATAAACAGATTTGCTCCCATGAATAATAACAGCTTATCTGAGCAAGGGGTTAAAGAGGTTGGCCCTTACTTTCTGTTATGCTGAGAAAGCAGAAAGGCAAATTGTTTCTCTTTTTGACCCCCCTCCCTGCTTTATAGTCAAAGAAATCTGCTCCCCAGGTATGTGTTACATATAGGATAGGTGTGCCTGCAGTGCATGTTCTGTAGGTACCAAGGCTGTGCAGCCCGTCATGTAGAGGTACAAAGTTTTTGTTTAAGAAGAGTTTTTGTTTAAGGGGTTGTTTAGCCTGGAGAAAAGGAGGCTTAGGGGAGACGTTATCACTCTCTATAACTACCTGAAAGGAGGTTGTAGTGCAGTGGGTGTTGGACTCTTCTCCCAAGTAAGAAGTGATAGGACAAGAGGAAATGGCCTCAAGTTGCGCCAGAGGAGGTTTAGATTGGACACTAGGGAAAATTTCTTCACTGAAAGGGTTATCAAGCATTGGAACAGGCTGCCCAGGGAAGTGGTGGAGTCAACATCCCTGGAGGTATTTAAAAGACCTGTAGATGAGGCATATAGTGACAGGGTTTAGTGGTGGACTTGGCAGTGTTAGGCTAATGGTTAGACTTGATCTTAAGGGTCTTTTCCAACCTGAATGATTCTATGATTCTAAGAAGCTCTTAATGTAAAGCCTCAGATGTAGTTGGGGATCTTAGCTACTCTTTTCAACATACTGTGTGGAAAACTAGTTAAATCCTCATGTGTCTGTGCTAAGGATGTAAATTTGGTTCTGATTGGTAGAGGATGGGATTACATTCTTGAAGATCTTTTTAGTGAGGAACTACAACAAATTAGCTGATCAGTGGCACTGGGACTCCTGAAGTCAGCCCATGCCAAGAACCCACTATGGTTCAACCAAAACTTCTTTCCAGTAGCACGGATGTAGCCAAATAGGTGCTTGAACTTCATACCATGTAATCAGACTGCCTCATGTACCCGCCTGGAGCAGCACAGGTGCTGGGTAGAAGCAAGCTGCCTGTCTCTGCCCATGCTCATGAATACCACGGGCCTCCGTTTTGAGTGGTGTAAGTTGCTGTGCTGAGTATTAAACAGGCACAAGCGTCTGCTATAAAATTAATGGAGACCAGTGGCCTGTTAGCACTCTCCTACATGTCTGTATCAGCTTGCCTCGGCTGAAATGTGAGCGTCTGCAACTGTCCAAGCCTTGGAACTTGGTGGTTTTGGCGTGGAGTTTCATCGGGACAACAGACCATCCGGCCTTCTACCCCATCCAGCCGTAAGCGCCTCTGCCTGTTGCTGCTGCTCTTCGGGATGGGGATGGCAGCACGTGGCTGGAGGTCAGTCCTGCGCTGGAAACCATCCAGAGCTCCAGCTTTGGTGTAGCTTAGCTCTGTGGTGCCCTTTCTCCTGGGGACATGCAGCCCCTCAGTGAGTGACCAAAAGCTCAAGGTGGGGGGCGGACTTTCCCACTGCAGTATGCATGGCTCTGGGGCATATATATCTTCAGAGAGTTTTAGCTGTGATTTTAGAGGACCTTGTGAGCTCCCTAGAGTCTTAAATTTAGCCTCCAAATGGTGGATAGTGAGGGGATGGGAGCCAGCACAAAATATAACCGGTGCTGTATCCAGGCAGTGTGGATTGGGGGCAACAGAACAGCCGGGGTAGATCTGGAGTGCTCTCACCCTGGTGCATTGCATCAGCTTGTGTCCTGCAGCACAGCTAGGCTGGGGCAAGGGACACGGTTTCAAGGTATGACTGTGATCTTAGGACTGAAGGGACTGAGGTGGGAAATAATGCCAGCTGATGTCCCTGGTAAATAATTCAAATAGTGCTGGGCAGGTGGTTCCCTTCCCTGAGCTTCCTTTGGCAGCAACAGCAGCGAGATATCAAAGTGGCTTCTGGAAGTGAGCTGGAAAACACCAGCCTTGGTCATCTGTTGCTCTGTCTCTGAGACCAGCTACTATGTGGCTCATGCTTTTGCTAGCTCTTGATTTTTAGAGCAACCCCTCATGCACATTTTCTGGCCTTCATTTTGGAAAGATCTGAAAACACTAGTGGGACTTGTATTTTCTTTTTAAGTTGTGGTTTTAACTACTGTCTCACTCTTGCAGCCTGCCCCACAACCCCAAAATAAGCAGGAAAGAAGGGGAGGGGGAGAAAGACAATTTTTCTTCGTGGAAAGTCTCGAGCAGCCTGTTTGTGGCAAGCTGTCTTGCTGGAGCCCACTTTGCATCACTGGAAAGTTTGGCCTCTGCTCCCACACAGTGTCTTGTTACTCCTGTCAGCCATCCCGTATCCCTCAGCGCTGGGGAAATGACGGCTGCCCTACTTTCAGGTTTGAGGTCCTGTATAAATTATTAAGTGCTGACGCTCTCCTTCCCTGTATTGACGAAGAGCTAGAACAGCAATGTGAAGCTATTGAAAATGGCGTGTTTGTGGCCGAAGCTAAAGCGTCTACTGCTTTGCCCTGCTCCCTTGTGTGTGCCAACTTGCACCGCTTTTATCTTCAGGAGTTTGAATTAACTTAAGCTCATTATTATTTCTTCTAGGCTGTGGGTGTCTGAGTCCCTGTCGATTGTCCCCAGCTTGTCCCTGGCTCTGCAGCTGCCTGATCTGAGAGGGGAGGCAAGGGCATCCTGCGCAGGGGAGGCTTCTCCTCCTCCTGACCACCCGCGAGGCATCTGTGGAGCTGCGAGCCCTCACTGCCTGCCTTCAGGCAGCTCCCCAAAGGGAAACACGGGCAGGCAGGTGGCCCTGGAGCTGGAGGTGCAAGGCTTTGCATCCTCTGCAGAATTTCGGAAAACGTGTTAAATTCTTATCTCCTGGCTGATACGCATTGGGTTTTGCTGTTCACATGAACTTTGTTGTCTTTTTATTTATTAAGATGCTGAACATGCTATGAAAAGTTAGTCTTAATTCCTCCCCCAGCATGCTCTTCTGTCTGGTTTTAGGGTAAAGGGACCCTTGGAAGTCCCATTGTGCTGGTAATGAGTAACTCTCATGCAAATAGTTATTCAAGTGAACTCCCTGAAACTTGCTTTCAGGAACCAGCGCTTAATAGGTTTTTTCATTCAGATCATGCTGTTAAATGTCTATCGTTTAGAGTACAGAAACTCATTTAAATAGGGAATTTTACATAAAAGCTGGGGGGAGGCCCCAGCTATAGAAGAAGCAGACATTTTTGTGTAATCTAAAGTGTAAGAAACCCCTGTGATCAAAGTGGTTTAGGAAACTGCCCTGATGTTAAATGCAGGGAACAGCATTTTCACATACCCTGGTAAGGAGCATTTGATGAGGTCTGTGGCTCTTCAGTTTCCGATTTTCATTTGAGGGCTTTTAAAATGTTTTCTCAGTCTTTCAGGGTTTAAATGATTTTTTTGTAGATCTTTTTACTACAAAGTGAATGAATAACTCCCTGGTCTGGAAATGTTGGAGGTGTGCTATGGCAGCCTTGAAAGGGGGAAACTGGGCTCGTAAGAGCTGGATGGGTCTGGCTGGCCATTCAAAAGGAAAGGGTTATCTTTGGCTGCTGAGAGAAAAAGTAAGTATCTTGTTGTGCTTTCTCCTTGTGCTAATTTTTAGCACTGGGCAAATATTTGGCATCCCTGAATTTCAGTATTCAGGTCTGTTTGTAAGCACTGCTGTAATCTCCACCTCTCTCTCCCGTGAGTTCATAGCCCTGGGGAGAACAGCAGGTGCATGCTTCCTAATGAATTTAGTCCCTGTTTTGCACTTCTCTGGAAATTTTGCCACTTATATTATTTCAGCAACAGCAAAACCAGGTCCTTGCTTAATGGAAGATTAACACGTGCTGTCCATCCTTATTTGGATGCTTTGACCTGATCCTCCATATTACCTGAATATCAGCCTGCTGCTGGTCGATGCAGCAGCAGCTTTGTACTGTGCTGCTGTTGCTAAGAAAATCAGATGAAGGACTCCATCTGCACTGAACTTCAAATGTGCAGGCAGTCCCACTGAAACCAATAAGGCTGCGCACGTACATGAAAATCGATGTGTGTGCGTAGGTCGGTGTTGGATCAAGGCCAGAGTGATATTACAGACAAGACATACTTGAGGATGAATCTGTGGCAGTGTAAAACTTGCCTTGAAATGATCGCTGAAACAGACTGACAACTTTTTTGTTCAATAAACAAAAGTAGGTACTGAAGCAGTGAGGGTGCATGGAGAGA